AGCTACACCAAGCGGCAGCATACGGACTCCAGCTTCTCCACTGAAAAGCGGGGTCCAATTTCGGCATAAACACTGAGGTATAGCGCCCTGCTTAGCTTAGCTAGGTGGCTAACTGGCTTAGTTAGTTTGCCGCCGTGATGTCTGGTGGAAAACTCCGCTATCCTGGGGCTCCGTACCTGGAGGAAGATAGCTCAGACCATGCCAAAGATGAAAAGCACATCGTCCGAAAGGTCTGAAAAAGCTTCCAGTCCAGTCCTGGGTGGAAGCATCGACATCTGACGGCCTTAACTACTAGCTACCACATCCGTGTAATGAGCAAGCTAGTAGCGGCTAACACATCCATAGAGTAGCAGACTAGCAACGGCCTTCGAATGTTCTGGTCAAGCTAATTAGCGCCTCCAAAGCTTGAAGCTACCCCAGACAGCAGCACAACCGAGCCCAGCTTCTCCCCTGAGAAGTGGGGACAGGGGTTCTGCCATAAGTTGGGGGTAATTCACTCGTATCCCGTCAGTGAAAGCGGGGACTTCTCCAAGTACAATGCAAGGGATAGCACCCGACTTAGCTAGCTAGAAAGTAGGTAGCTAACTGACTTAGCCAGTTTACCGCCATGTCCCCAGCGGGAAAGAACATGGCTAGCTCGGTCCACCGTCCACAGAGGGAGATAGCTCAGACCATATAGAAGAATAAAAACTTGTATGGATCGACACTCCTTGAGTCCATGTGGAAGCAAGAAGATGTCCGCTTCCACAGCACCTTAGCTTAGCATAATTCTGCACCGCGGGTATTATGCTAAGCTAGGGCGCCGCAGGATTACCCGTGGGAAATATTGGCTAGCTAACCACGAGCAACCTTCTCCGAGGAAGGAGACCGGAGTAAAAATGGGTCATGCTGGGGAAACCGAACCCCGAGCAGCCCGGAAGGACAGCTATGCGGATCATAGCTCGGTGGCACCAGACACGAATTCCATGTCGATATAAAAGGAATCATAGCACTTACATGTATGTGGCGTCTTCTATGGTTACATGTCGAATGCCGAAGCTGAAGAAAAATGAGGGAGACGTACATCGGTCCAACTGGCTTTCATAGGACCGAGGTGGGGCCCCAGGGGACGGGGGCGTGGACTATTGGTTTTTCAGAATGCAGGCGGGACGCGGAGGGGTACCCATCAGCGATAGCCTTAGAGGGCAGAGCTTACACGAAATAGAACAAACCATGGGCTTTACGGCGCCATCTTTAAACAGACACGATCAGCCGAGCACAGAACAGTTGATGAAACCGTATCGTAACCTAAAAGTTTGGCTGAAAATCTCCTCAAAACACAGGACAATACAAAAAAATCAAACATATACTGATAACTATGTATTTAAAATTACCTACACCCTGTAAAAACTCTAAAATTAATAATAAAATTCCATTGCGTCATTGATTTTGTTATCGATTGGCTTCCTTTTATGGTTATCCTGTCGCATCAGGTTTCAAGCCTTTTAATCTGGCCCTGCTGCTTTGGAGGAGAGAAATTTGAATAAAATTTCGATTTTCATTGTCATTTTTGTTTAAAATCAGATTATTTGACTTGTAAATGATGTCTGAAAGAACTGGAGGCTGTAACAACAACAACAACGACATTAATAATAATAATAATATAGGGACAAAAATTAATCTATTCTTATGTGTTTTATTGATGCCTCAAAGCCCTTTGACAGAGTGAACCACACACGTTTTGATAAATTAAAGAGAAGGGGAGTTCCTGGATATATTATGAGGATTCTTTCTTACTGGTATGCTCATCAGAAGATGCAGGTTAAATGGGGAAACAGTATTTCTGCCCCCTTTGGTGTTAATGGTGTTAGACAGGGTGGGATATTGTCTCCACTTTTGTTTAATG